CCCCCCACCCACCCACACCAAACCAGGAAACCGGCCGTTAGCACGAAACACCTCTCTCCCCCCCCCTCCCCAGTAGAACTGGCAAGCCGATGTTCCTTGCCCCGCTCGTGTTTGGATTTGACAGATCGGCTGTCAGGAGCCGAATTGGTGGAAGTCCGCGGCAGGATTTGGCAGAGAAAAGCCTTCTTAAATCCCCCTTTTTTGCGGGGGGGGGGGAGGAGAATGTCTCTTTCCTTGTTGAAGAAAGGAACGCCGCTCTTTCTCGGCACATTTTGGGGAAGTAACCTCCCCCCCACCCCACCCCCGCGGCAAAGCATCTCTAAATGCCAGAAGGCCGAGGCGCTTTCTCGGATGCATTTCTATGCCCCCTCCCGGCCCGCAGTTTGCAAGAGAGAACCAGGGAGCTGCGCTTTCGGTAAAGGGGAAAACGGTCCTTTCCTTTAACTTCTTGGAGCGGCCCATCCCCTTGCGGGATCGAACCGGCGCGCCGAGAAGGGGGACAGTAGGTGGGTTAGAAAAAAACAAGTCTCGGAGGTGCGTTTCTGCTCTCCTGCCCCAAACTGAGTTTTAGACCGAGGAGGGGTTACTAGTTGCCACCGCCTTCGCTCCCTTCCTCCCCTCCCGGGTCCCACAATCGCAACTGGGGTTGAGGGAAAACTACAAAGTTTGGGTCTCACCTGCCAGAAAAAAAGGAATCGGGGAGGGGGGCGGCGGCTTGTCCTCCTCGGCCATTCAGTGGGGCGCCCTAAAGCGAGACCCCCGCTTCTTGCGGATGGGGCGAGCCAAGCCATCCTTCAGATGCTGCAGAAGGGCAGGCTTTGGCCTCTGGGGGAAGCCTCCCCCTCCCTCGTTGGAAGGTGGGGGGCATGAAAGAAAAAAACTTCCTCGGTTGGTTCTCAGCCCCGGGCAGCGGCGGTGGGGGGGGGCGGGAGGAGGAGGAGGCGTCCAGAATGGCGCTAGGCTTGGAGAGGGGAGTTTCTGTCGGAAGAGCGAAGCCCCTCCTCCCTCCCTCCCTCGCCACTCCTCCTTTTCCCGGCTCTGAACTTGGGGAAGGGGGGGGGAGGGAGGGAATCCGGATGCCCCTCTGCCGCCTGGCCCGCCCCCCCTCCTCTTCCCTTTGCCTCCCCCTCCCTCCCCGTGCGCTCCCGAGGCGGCTGCCGGGCGAGCTGCAAAAGAGGGAAGGCGCGGTGGCGGCGGCGGCACAGCAGCAGCAGCAGCAGCAGAAAGAGCGGAGCCCGCCCGGCTCTCGCGCTCCCTTCCCAGTTGAGAGTCACGCCGCCCCGCTCTCCTTTTCCCCTCTTCCAGCCCTGCCTGTTGCCGGAGCCGAAGGAAAGCCAGCCTCGCGGAGGAAGCGGAGCCTCGCGGGTCGGAGCGAGGGAGAAGCGCGCCCGGGGGAAGGGAGAGAGAGAGAGGAGAAGCCAGGCGCCGATGCCTTGAGGAGCTCCCGGTAGAGCCGGAGGAGGCCAAGGGGAGAGGAGCGGGGGGGGAGGCCTCCCTCCCCATCCCTCCCGCTCGCCCGGGGGGGCTTCTCCGCCTCCTCCTGGCCGCGGGGCCAGCTGTCAAACTCCGCCGTCCTGCCAGCCGCCGCCGCCACTTGCAACAGCCCCAGCAGCCTGGCCGCCGCCGCCGTCGCCGCGAACGGGGCAGTCCTTGCGCCCTGCGCTTTCGCGGCTTGCCTCCGCCTCCGTCTCCTCCTCTTCCACCCCAGCGTGCATGCCCAGCGGCGGCGGCGGCGGCGGCAGCAGCAGCGGCAACAGCAGCAACAACAACAACAAAAAAGCAACAGCCGCAGGAGCAGCAGCAGCACCACCACCGCCAGCAGCAGCAACACCAGCAGCAGCAAGCAAGCAGCCCAGCCTGGAGTGGCTCCAGCGGCTTGGAGGAGGAGGAGGAGGAGGAGGGGGCCGCCCTGAAGCCCGTCGCCTTGCCAGCCCTGCCAGCCCGGAGACGCCGCCAGCCCCCCCGTCTCCTCCAGGCGCTGCCGGCGGACGCGGCCAGGCAAGATGCCCAGGAGGAAACAGCAAGCGCCCCGGCGCTCGGCAGGTACGAGAAGCGGACGCTTCGGCTGGGTAGGCAGGGAGGGAGGGAGAGGGTGCCCCTTTCTCTTTTCCCCCTGCCCTCACCCACCCACCTTCACCCCCGTCCCGGCTCCCTTTTTGGGAAGAGGGGAATCTGGAGCCGGAGAGGCACCAGTCTTCCTCCTGGCACGGCTCGCTTTCTCACAACCCCCCCCCCCTTTTCCAGCTTTCATTTCCCCCCCTTTACTCACCCGACCCAGGTGCCTTTTTTTTTCCTTTTAGAGGAAGAGACGCAGGGGAGGGAAGAGGAGTGAGGTGCCTAGGAAAGGCAGCCCCCCACCCCGTTTAGGAGTTCTTTGCGGGACTTTTGCTTTTCAATGGAAGCCTTTGGGGGGGGGGGTTCCAGATCTTTCGTAGCGCCACTTGTACCACCGGTGCTTTAGAATCCCCCTACCCTGTCCAGGTGGGCTTCTCACCCTCTTTGCAAGGGTCCTTTCCTCCCGACCCCACTGCAAAGAAAGGATGGTGGAGCTGTGCTGTCTTCTCCTGCCAGTGGAGGTTTACGGGGGGGGGGGTGGTTGTGATGGGGGTGCATTCCCTCCCTTCAACTTTCTTCCTCGGTTCTTTCTTTAAGGGGTCGGGTGGGCTGAAGGACAAGCGGCTGGCGATTCTTCCTTTGCCTTTCCGAAGATTGAGGGGTTACAGGAAATGCTAGCAAAAGGAGCCTGTGCTTTGTCAGATGTCGACAATAATTGGGGTTTGTTTTTTTTGCATTTCCTTTCATACTTCCAGAGTTTTGTTTTTATTTTTCTTCTTCCTTTGTTCCCCCTAACATTACACAACTTATCACTTTTTGGGGTATGGCTATACAGGATTTGCAAAACCTGAGATTAAAAGATTTGAGGTATGAATCTAGGCACCCTTTTATTTGCAGCATCACCTTCTATCTTCCTTCCCTCCTTCCCTCCTTCCTTCCTTCTTTTCTCTTTTACATTTTATTGGCAGTCATCTTTCTTTCCTTCCTTCCTTCCTTCCTTCCTTCCTTCCTTCCTTCCCTCCTTTCTCCCTCCCTCTCCCTTCCCCTTCCTTCCTTCCTCCTTCCTACCCTCCCTCCCTCTTCCTTCCTTCCTTCCTTCCTTCCTTCCTTCCT